AAAGTATTTAGAGCCGGAAATTCCCCACGTGCTCAGGTTGCCTCTGTTGACACTTTACAGTAACTGATTGGGAAGCATACACACATCCGTGATTTAAAAATAAATTTTACCAATTTGTATGATTTATATTATTCTAGGAGAAGATGAAACATGATAAATTGAAGCTGTGATTTCTGAGAAGATTAAAAGCCACCCAGAAAGCTAATTCACCCATTGAAAGAAAAAAGAAATTTAAGACAAAAAAAATGACGAACACTCTTGTCTCCGGAAATTGTCTCGGGTCGGAAGTTTGCGGCCGCTGTGAACAGGTGCTGCTAAAAGCATCCTGCTGAGCTGCTGTCTGATAAGGACTAGATATCCGGTCTTCTCTGCCTCACTTTGCATCCGGCTCACATTACTTCATTTCCTTTCCAGGACCTTCCCCCGGATTCTTCATATAAGGTCAAACAGTCACTGATTCCTCTAAGCTAATTCCTCCCACCTGAACTATGAAATGTTAATGACAACCTCTGCCCTGTGGATATACCTTACTTTTTTTATATATTATTTATGAAATAAGATATATAAAATATCTCTGAAAAAGTTGAAAGCTGTGTTTCTTTAGTTTTCTTTACATGTTTCTTTGCTTCAGAGAATTGAGTCCAGCAGGGCTGACCACACAGGAAGTTTGCTTCCATATTTAGCTGGATAAGGGGTAACTGAAAAACACTCTGACCCCAAAATCCCTCCCACACTACATCCTGACCCTCTACACTTTTTGTCCTATTTACTATAATTTCTGTATTTTCTGTAAACATATAGAAATACCTTCTTTTGAACAAAACAGCAGCAGACTCACAGACTCCAAGAAGGGACTAGCAGTTACCAAAGTGAAGGGTTTGGGGATGGTGGGTGGGGAGGGAGGAAGAAGGGAATTAAGGGGCATTTTAATTAATACTCACAATATAGGTAGGTTAGGAGAAGGCAGCACAGCACGGAGAAGACAAATATGACTCTATAGCATCTTACTACACTGATAGACAGTGACTGTAATGGGGTCGGGGTGGGGGGGACTTGATAATATGGATGAATGTTGAAATCACAATATTATTCATATGAAACCTTCTTAAGACTATATATCAGTGATACTTTAAAAAAAAAGTTCAACCAAGTTTTAAAAAATCCTTCCTTTCATAGATACTGATTACTAATGATAATAAAATTTATTGTACATAGGAAGATACTCTTGCAAGTAAAATGACATGATTTTAATCATTCTGACAACAGCTGTCACCCAGGACTGTGCTGGCAACCCTTATATTGTTCACTCCTTTGCATGAATTTAATTTGGTGACCTTCTCAGATCTAAGGAAGATTTTTTACACTTAAAAATAATGACTGTGGAAGAGGAGGGAGGATTAATGAAGAAATAATTAATTTTGCAATGAAGTTCAGGCTATTCTAAAGGGCTTGAATGGCATGAGGCCCAGTGGACTTTGGCTTCTCCCACAGGGACAGAGAAAAATGATTCCAGAACAAAGGTAACAGGTTTTGATCAATTTTATAATGTTGAAATAAGGTCTCTAGAGTAATTTTTCTGTGTCCAATGGCATATATATATATATTATATAGCTATATTACACATAACATACATAGGTAACATATACATACATGTAGTTATAAATATATATGTATAATGTGCATTCACCTGATTATGACTGAAAAAACAAGAAGCTTGGAGCACATAAGCAGGAGTCTTCATGTCATGAAAGCTGTTCTGTGAGGATGGATGCTATTGCAGCTTCCTCTGTCTGTCTGTGCCCTAGACAGACAAGAGTCAATTACAACACATGAGTGACTATCCTGTGACTTCTCAGTTTTTTCTCTCAGGGCCTTACATCAAATGAGAAACTTTCCCTTTTTGGGATTCATATCAAACTGTTATTCCTTTCTTTATCATTAAATGCCTAATATACGCCAAACACTGTGGTAGAAAACTAATTTTCTGATTGATAATGTTTTCTTCCCCAAAACCTTATAGGTTAGATATGATTTTCATTTTACAGATGGCAAAGCCAAAGTTCAGGGCATTTGTGTAAGTTTCCTGGAGCTGCACAGTTAACAAATACTTGAATGAAGTTTCACATATATTCCTTCATGTATTCACCCAAAAAGTATTTGTTGAACTTTTGTGGGTTAGGCCCTATGATAGGTACCAGAGATTCATTGTTGAATAAATCAGCCATGTTCCTGCTCTTAAAGCCCTTACTTCCTAGTAAGGGAAATAAGCAATGCTGATTTTTAAATAATATATAAAATAAGTGAACTACAAAATTTCAGATGAGATATTCTGTAAACAAAAAAAAAAGAGAGAGTGAGGTAATATATTGTGACTGATAGGAACTCATTTATACAGGTGGTGAGAGGTCTGATTGAAGAGGTGACATGTGAGGTAAATATAACTGAGAAGAAAGAGTTAGCCATGAAAAATCTGAGAGCAGAGAGAACAAGAGCAAGAACATACCCTATTCATGAAAATAAGTTTAGTTTCTCAAAGTCAACATAGCTCACCCATAGGGAGTAAGAGGAAAATTGTAGGAGATGATTATTTGTCTGTAACACCTATACTTTTCTCACAATGTTAATTGGCCTAACTGTTCTAGAACACTCAAATTTCAAAGACAGTTGGTATCCAACTAAGACAATTAGATTTTCACACTTTTATAAGAATCATCAGAGGAGGAAAGATACTTTTGTAGATGGCATAATTGGATCATGATTTCCATGTTAGTCAATCAGTTGTTGAAAAGTCGTGTTTTCCATGCAGAAAAATCAGAGGGCAAGGATTATCAGTGTGTATAAGGATATTGGCTGTCTCTCTATTGATACCCCACACACTTGGAAAAGTTCAAATAATGTTGCATATTTATTATAGTGGTATTATCTCATGTATTCTTCATAACATGGGTGTGTGTGGCTATTAACCCAGCTCTCCCAACTCTAGGAGGATCAATGAAAGATCTAAGTTGCTTTAATCCACATAAATTAGCAAAGTCATTAGCTATACTCTTTAGCACCAAACTCAACTCCTCTGTGATCATTCCTCATCAGCATTCAAGTGTGCATTTGATATCCAGCAACAGTCTAAAGTCACATTTCTCACTTCTATAATTCCACACATCTCCCTGAGGAGTACTCTCTATTTTGGAACTTTCATGTTTTATACATATTCTTTTATTAATTCATATTTATGCATTCACTCACTCAACAAGTATATACTGTATGCACCAAGAACATAGTTTCCAGTTACTATGTCAAGTAGGAGAAACACAGAAGGGACAACTCAGGAAAAGACCTTGTCCCCAAGCTGCTTACAGTCTTGTAAGGAAAGTGCATGATAACTGGTGATATAATATCAGATACTGGCAAGAGACGTAAAGAAAGATAAAGGGGCTGTGGAGACATGGAGGGTGAGGTTCCATCTAACATATAGAAGGCAAGTGGGCAAATCACAGTTGAAGAGTGAGTGAACTGAATTAAAGGAGGAGAAAGGTTTGCAAGTAGATGGAGGAAGAACCTTCCAGAGAAAATGCAAAGAGCAGTGGTGGGAGTATGCTTGATATTTTTGTAAAACAGCAAAGAGTCTACTGTTGGAAAAGGCAATGGCTAATGAAAATGGTAAGAGAGCGAGCCAGGAGCCAGATCATGGACTTCTTAAGCTATAAGCAGTTAATTGGGCTTTATTTCAAATTCATGGTCATTTCAGTAAAAAGCCTTTGAGGGTAGGAGGGGGGAAAAGTTGAACCTCTTGCCAAAATAATATGGCTTAATTATAAAACAAACCCTTTAGCTGCTGTGTGGCAAATATACTAAGAAATTGACTGAAAAACAGAATGGAAACAAAGAGAGCCTTTAGAAGCGACATGTATTCTTCATGTATTGGAAAACAAATAACTAGGCTGGCCTAACTAATTTACACAACATGATAATTTCCAACTTACCTAAGCATAACATTTTCACAAAGGCTTTATTCTGAAAACAGAATGTCTTTAAAGAAGTGACATTAATGATAGTATTTTTGACACCAAAATTATTAACCATGGTGTTATTTTCATCCCCTCCTTAAATCACCATGCATAGACATTCTGCATTTTTTGTATTGATCTTAATAACATTATCTGTATAATACTGATACCATGGCAATACATTTTTATAGTAGTCATATTCCAGATGTCTAAAGCCTCAGATGTATGAAAAGAATAATCCAGCAGATAGGGAAAAAACAGGAGAATAATATATAATTGGTGGGAAGTAAGGATATTCTAAATGACAGCAAAATAAGACAAGAAAAGTAACAGGAGGTAAATGAAACAGATCATTTAAGATAAATAATTTTAGAACATAGAGAGGAAGTTCCAGACCACACTGTTTCTATTTCCTGCATTAAAGCAGCTACTTACTAACTGATACCTTAAAAGAAGTAGGTCCCAGGGAAGAAGTGAATGACACATTTCTGGAATCCACTTCAGAACTTCCTAAGTAAAACTTTTCTGGACTAGAGAGATATCCATGAGGATAGAGATCTTAAAATTCTTATTCAACAATAAATCCTCTAGCTCAAAATAGTGTCATATTATATTGGCTGTTGAAAAATATTAGTTGTTGCATAAATGGATAAATGGGATTCCAAGAAATATTAGTATTTAAATTATTTCCATCTCAAAGAAAAAAATCCTTAACTTTTCATTCTTATTATGGTGTCTCCTAAAGTATTTGTGTTTTCTACAAATTTAAGGAAGGATGTCTCAGATTCTGGGAAAAACCCACTTGTCTCTTCGTGCTACACCTGTCGTTGTGAGAAAGCACATTTCAGACAGCAGGGAAAACCCACAGCTCACCACAACACCACGTTGTACATTGTCTGGGCCACCGGAGCATAAATTAAAGAGAATCTTTGTTGAGTGATTAGGAAACAAGAAAGGGGCGGAGACAAGATCACTGAATATAAATGCCACGGTATCTCAGAGACCCAGAGATTGACTGAATAAGAGCTCCAGCAAAGAGTTTCCCTGTGGGACTGGCTTAACCTGGGAACCTGGGCTTAACCAGTGGATCTTGACTAGAATAAAGATGAGTTCTGAAGGTTGTTCCATAACAGAGAACAGCTCCTTGCATCTGGAGAGAGGACAACAAAGTAAGTCAGACCTTATTTCTTACATACTGGCAGTAACTGTCTGTGTGCCTGTCTGTCTCTCTGACAGTACTTAGGGAACAAAATGAGGCTTTCTATTTTGAAGGACTTAGTCACATTCAATTTCAGTCCAAAGGAGACAATGAGAAGTACGTATTTCTTTCTCTGTGAGAGGATAAGATACCTGAGACTTGGGAGGAAACTACAAAGCAAATTTCAGAAGATCTTTTATGATGTTTCTTTGTTTCAGTTCATATCATCTTAATTTTTCAGATTTAATTAGAAAACCCCCCTCATGGGCCCAGTGTGCTCTCCGTCATTTCTCCATATCCATCTGTCCAAACCCCATGTCCACATTCTGCACAGACATTGCTTCCCTATAAAGATTACGCTCTTGATTGCCATCACTTTGTAGCTTTGTGAGCTTTCTCTGTGCCCATCTCTTGTTCTCATAACAGCAGCCTTCATGTGCAGGAAATGAAGGTTTCTAATGGAGAGAAGAGTCATATAAGAATCTGAACATTTACAGTGTCCAATGGTAATTTGTTAGGAGAAGGTCATGTAAGAATTCTTCAAAACGCAGCCTTCTGCTCTGTGGTCTTTGTTACACTCTTTTCCCTCCATTTCATTCTCTTGTACCCTTCCAATCCCTGGCTCCCGATTCTACATGAATCAGACACTTCCTTTTGTTTCTCATTGAAATATTCTCATCAAAATATGATCATCTTAGCTATAAACTCATACTATGTACTTTGCCTCTCTTCTGTTTGTCTATTCTGCTCCCAGGCCTATTCTATTTCCTATTACCAAAATTATCCCATTTTTTCCTATAACTTGTTTCTGTGAGACTTTCTTTTTTTATCCCTTTTCCTCTCAAATTAGTGAGGTGCTCCAAAATACTAACACTTAGGAAGTAGAGTTTACTTGTATGCAAAGCTATCCAGTAATAAAGGGACATGTTATGAACAGCAGATCTGAAACAATCTAGAGGAAGGGATTCTTTCCTGTGTGTCTCCTAGACTGGTTTGCATTAGAAAGGCATCAATTACTTCTGATAAACCATCTTTCTCTTAACAACACAGATCAAGTGTGGATAACAAGTGCAAGTCACACACATTTTTGGTAACTAGGTAACCATGTGTTTGGCCCAGTGGAGCCTCCTAAAAGAAAAATGTACATAATGATGAAACTACTCAGTAAATAGCACAGGTGGAAGAAGAGGACTGAATTCAGGGATTCTTCACTTTTCCTGAGACCATCTAATTTCCTTTTGAATGTTTAGTTTATGCTGCCCTTCATTAGTATGAACAGTCATTGGGCATCACCCTTGGTGACTCAATATGAATAGTAGGTTTATTTTCAATCTCTCCATTGATGGGCAGGGCCCATAATCAGCATGATGTTGGGGAGTGTTTAGTCACGTAGGTGATAAAATAAAATTGTAACAGCAGCCCTCACTAGTGGGCTTGATGTACAATCTGAGAATCGCCTCCATAGTCTACCTACTGGATAAACCAATAGACTCTGGAGTCCATGAGCTTCTTGGAAGAGCTCGTACATGCCGAGGAATCAGAGCTGTTGCTGCGTTAGGTCTCAGCAATATGAATGTCTGCCACATTGTGAGAAGTGAAACTAGACAGAGAACTTGGCTTGCTACCCTACCTATGGCTGCTTCTGGTGATACTTCTACACCAGTGAAAAAAGGAAGATTTGCTTTGAGAAGCTGAGAGAAACAGAGCTAGACAGGAGTAAAGTACAGCTTCTCTTAGGAATCTGAATACAGGTCTGCACTTGGAAAAACAATCCCCGGAAGGAGCAAATGCTGATGTTGACATCCAGCACATGATGAAGCACACAAAAGAAACATCTCTTTGTCTGACTTAACTTAAGCGAAATGTTTTAAGGAAAAAGAACATGTGAATATCAAGACATGTACTCTATAGACATTCTTTTAATTTTGAAACTCATCCATGCTGAAAAACAGGACATTTTTGCATTTTGAGACTATTTTCATGGTGAATTTTAATGCCATTCAGGTAGCCATTTTACATTGCAGGTTTTGAGAACATAACAGAGAGCCGTATATTTCTTGTAAGACCACATTTTTAAAATCCTGGCAGCTCATTCTAATATCAAATTCAAACTCTGAGTTATGAACCACCTCACCTTTCTCAATTATTTATAATCTAGAACAAATAACCTTCTATTTTTGGTTTGAGGGGTATTTTTTGGTAAATAAGAAGCATCATTCATATCATATTCATATTCTAAATCCTTCCATAAAAATATTTCTTGTTGGTAAAATCAAATTCTTACCGTGTTTCACCATTATACAGAGGGTAAATGAGAAAATCAACTTCTATCAAATATTTAGTCTATAATACTATTATGTTTCTATTATTTTAACTTATCTTGGAAAATGCAAATATTTTACTGTTCATTCCCACATCATTTTAAATTAAGGTATAATTTACATTCAGTGGATGCACAGATTAAGTGTACAGCTTAATGAGTTGTAACTATAATTCTAATCAACATTTGCAATTTTCTGTCACCTTAAAAAGTTCCCCTATGTTCTTTCCCAGGCAGATTACCTTCCTTACACACATAATAGAGCCACGTTTCTGATTTCTGTCACATAGTTTGGCTATTCTTGAATGTCATATAAATGGAAATATGCAGTATATAATTGTAGCTGAATTTTTTGACTCAACATTTTTTTTTGAGATTTATCCATTTTGTTGATTGTATCAGTTGTTCTTTTTTTAATTGCTGAGTAGAATTCCTTATATGGATATACTATAACTTGTTTATCCATTTTCCTATTGATGGATATTTCGATAACTTCTAGGATTTGTCTCTTAAGAAGAAAGCTGCTATGAATATTCATGAACAAAGCATTTTGAAGACATACTTTCATTTCTCCTGAGAAGATATATAGAGTAGCTTTAAACTTAATTGTGTAATAAGCAGTTTTCCAAAGTATTTTTCCATTTTACTCTTCCATTAGTCATATACAAATTTCAGTTGCTTCATGTCTGCACCACCTTCACCAAAGAATACTATCAATCTTCTTTTATTTTGTCATGTTAGTTGTAGATATTTATATATTGACTCAATATTTTTATTGCATTATCCACATGTACACACATTCACATCATCTCTCCTAAGCAGTAACTACAGAGAGGTTAAAGGATTGTGGTTTAGATGTTCTATTTATATGCCTTCCAGGGTATTCAGGTATTTAACAAATGCTCTCACTGTGGTTAAAACAATCAGATATACTTAGAATTTTCATAGGTACTAAGTACATATATTAGGAAGATATTTTATGGTCTCATTTTATGCCTTGGATTATTTCATTTCTAGCCAAAAAGAAACTACCCAAATTCACTCAAAATTTGGATAAAATTAACTTCTCCATTTCATGTAAGATAAGGATCCATATATCTACTTTTCTAATTTAAATGCCTCAAGAGAATTACAGATGACCCTATCTTACCTCTATAGTCAGCTTGAATTCATCACCAGCTTTCTCTCCTCAGGTAACATGTCCAGCCCTCATTTTGCAATACATCACGAAGGATCCCTTCAAGTTCCCATCCCATGTGCTGTGCTCACTGTGGTCATCATCGTCTCTTTAATCATAGCTCTCGTTGCTTTATCAGGTGAGTCTGCATTCATGAACTGACTTTCTTAGCTCCAAGTATTTATTCCCAGTTGAAATCAACAAGAATTACTTAGTCTAATTAATCAGAAGATTCCTTGGATACTTAATACAATCCTTTTTTGAGTTTTCTAGAGCTTCTTTATAAGTATTAAAAGCCCCTATGATTTATACATTACTGTGGGAGAAAATTACACTTGAGCAGATGTTTAAATCTGGAATGAAAGGGGCTGATTTAGATTGTATATAAATACACATTTAGCTAGGGAAAAATATGTTTCACATTCATTGTTGATGGGAAAAATAATACCTATGTCATAGATTAACCAGGAATTGGTCAATCTTTTGTCATTTATCTCAAAGGTCACAGAATGGTGGTTACAGATAATTAAGAATATATCCAGAAGCTAGATGTATCAGAGAGTCAATTGTAATATGGTATTCAAAACACACAGCTATGCCAAGATACATTTGTGTCTTTTACAAACAAAATTTTATGATTTTATAAAACATCCCAGCCACAATCTTTTCATATTTTGAATTACTTCCTTTCAAATTATTATCTCCTTCTCCCAACATAGTATTACATCTACTACATCTTCAAAATCCTCCATCTCTGCATGCAGATTCACAGTGTTACTTTGGCTTTATATTCACTTTACCCTTTCTAGACCAAAGACTTATTTTCAAGATTTTTTTTTAATTTCCTGCCACATTATGACATTATAGCCACAAAGACATCCTCTTACTTCTTATTCCGTGTGTAATGATGATTAGCATAACCGGAGGTCAGATAAGGTGAGAACCTGCCTTCTTACCCTTCTTAGAATTCCCCTTCTTTCTTTCACCTTTACTTTATCACCTCACACAGCATCCCCTGAACTAGTTTTGCAGTCTGTGGGTATTTAGTTTCTTTTGTTGCTAAAATGAACCACTTTCCTGTTCACAGAGGGCCAATACAATTGTCCGGGCCAGTATATGTCCTCAGTGCTATCAAATAGCTATGTTTCTTCATGCTCAGATGACTGGATTGGATATCAGAAGAAATGCTACTTCATTTCCAGTGTGATGAAGAACTGGACCTTGGCCCAAAATTTTTGCTCCAAACATGGTGCTACTCTTGCTCTCATTGATTCTGAGAAGGACATGGTAAGAAATTATTCAAAAATTATTTCATAAAATATTGCTATTTTATATTATCTAGCTAATCTGTGGTTTCCTTCTGTTTCCTTCTAAGTGAAGACATTGTAACTATTTCCCCTGTAAGAAAATTTAGTGATGGGAAAGCCATGTGATCAGTCTGAGGTCGAAATGAGGGTTCAATTTGGTCTTGTAAATTTGATTTGATTGCTTAGCGTCACAGGCCAGAAATCCAAGTGAGCCCCTGTCATTCAAACTAATAAATGATCAGCTTAGCTATCATGCCTGAAATTGGAGTTTTGAGCAACAAGTTGTATTACTTGCCCAGAGGGGCTATTTAACAAATACCTCTTTGTGCTTTCTCCAAGACCTTTTTAAAACGGTATGTGGGTAGAGCTGGACACTGGATTGGACTGAAAAATGAAGCTGGTCAGACATGGAAATGGTCAAATGGCAAAGAATTTAACAACTGGTAAGTTTCAAAATGTCTCTTCATCCTCCCCAGGTTGGCAGCTCAGGAAAACAGTTTTCCTTCAAAACACTGTTGTACATGAAGGTTGTATCCTTTATGAGCAGATAAATCTCTTCTGTATGCTTACACTCTGTGACATTAAGAAGGGCTTTAATATTCTCACTTTCTCTTTGTGTCTACTTGGAATTCATGCAATAAAAGCTTCTAGTAATTGGATCTCAGTAAATTCTAGTGTGAGTAATAGGCTCAGAGATATTCCAGGAATAATGATGATGAGGCAAAAAAGCCCAACATTTCCAACTTATATTTATATTTTACTGATGACTGAGTTTTGGAAAATAATTTCCTCTCATTCTCCCCATCTTCATCTCCACCAGAATAAAGAACAGTACTTTCAATACCTAATTAGGAGCTTCTATGGACCTGAAAGAAAACTTGCCCCAGAATTAAAGATGCTAATTTTATTTTCATTACCTATAATTAAACTACATTTTAAAGTTCAAAGGACATTTCATAAGTTTAGTGTTAGTCCTTACCATCTGAAAATTCGGAGTTGAAAATTTTTTGGTTATCTGTAATTTTATGATAATTACAGTTATGGAGAATAAACGCAAATCTCCAGAAAAAGAGTCTTATGACAAATGCCATATGTGTCTTAGAACGTTTCCACAGAGGGGCGTCAGGGGCCTAAACCCTTCAAAATTGCATGCACTAACATGCATCATGCTTGAATGGTTATGCTTCCTGGCAGTTGTTTCTTGAAGTGTTTGTAAAGTCACAAATGATCAAGAGTCACTCCTCTGGTGGCATGCTAGCTAGATAAATGGAGTTCTTTACTCTCAATCCACATATCCTTCCTTTCAGTTCTGTTCTACTGTCACTTCAGATTAGTCTATGATCATTTGACTGGCCAGCTGGCCTCATGCAATCCTACTAAGTGAAAAAAAATACAAAAAGACAAACAAAACAGAAAACAGGCCACCACCACCACAAAGTGTACTCTCATGTAACTGAGTGGAAATGATGAACTGAAAGTAATTCTAAGTTTTCTTGTTATTTGACAGGTTCAACCTTACAGGATCAGAGAGCTGTGCATCTCTGAATAGCACAGAGGTCAGCAGTGCAGAATGTGAAAAGGATTTACACTGGATATGTAGCAAATCCTACAAATAATGGAGAATCATTTGCTTATAGACCGTTATATCGTGGAACTCAAGGAAATTGGTGTCGATGGGTGGCTGCTCTATGGTCAGAAGTTTCCCATTAAGCTTTGTGAAAAAACTTTGTATTTACTTTGAAAACCTTCTTCCAAAAAGGACTATGGAAAAAAGGGAGAAAAATTCCAGGAATTTCTGCATTGAGGAAGACTCCTGCCAGGAGCTGGAAACATCACAGGTTAACTGATATTATGTCCAAGAAGGAGAAGAAGGACTTTACACCTTTGGGATGCACTTTATATATTTTTTTAAATTCAGAAATAATAAAATAACTAGGTTTAGAATTATTATTTATTGTTGAATGACTGCCGACACTGAGTGTCCTTCATGCATTTGCACTATTTGAAGGAATTTGATGGTGGTATTAAAGACTGAATGTGATTATAGGGATCTTTAACTAGTAACACAGATACTGAGGCTAAGTGCATTTTTTTTTTAACTCAGAGAACATTTACAAGTGAACAAATGCTTATGAAACTAAGCTTTGTAATATTTCTCTCTTTTTAGAGAAGTTCACCAAGTTGCTTGTCATTTTTTTTTCTCTAAAAGAGTGGGATGATCATCTATTTATGGGCTTTTTGTTTTTCTTCTTCTATGTAGGCTCATCTCCCTCAAAGGTACATAACTCATTGCCTTTAAAACTTTATATACAGCATTTTACAGAGACAAAGACAAAAGCAAATAATATGAGGAATATTTGCAAAACAGACCAAAGTGTTGGAAAATATGCAGTATGTGATGTAGCAAATCCCTATCAGGAAAAATTTTGTATTTTTCAAACCTGGAATAATACGAGTCTTATTTGATAATAAACTTATGCCTTTTCTAATTAATTCTGTCATGTGCAATACTTCATGTGAAGTATTTTCTAAGTGCAATAAAGTATGTTTATGTGTTCGTCTTTTGTATTCAGTGCAATTATAAGCTGCTTTTATGTTTGTTCAAATAAAAGTGGAATTAACAAAACAGTTTCTAAGGAGTGTTAAGTCCTTCAAAATACACTAAAAATTGTGTGTCATATTAGAAAAAACAGAATACTATAAAAAAATTATCTGTAGTAAAACCTTAGCTTTATAACATGGCTTGTACTTACTGAATTGTTTTCATATGTGTGCTTCCAAAAGAGTCAAACCCATTTTTCTGTGTTTAGCAGATGCTCAGTAAACATTCGAATTGACTTGTGATGAATTTGTGTCATTTAAAAATTTTTTACTGTATTATTTTCTTCCTTTCTTTTATTGTTTATCTCCCTCATATAGCACAATCAGGAGACACCTAAAAGTCCTTTTGCAAGGGCCTGTTTATAAGCTTGTCCTCTGCAATAAGAGACTAATTAGTCCCCTTAACTGATGCTCTGAAAGCACCTTATTCAATTCTGAAATGCTGTACATGTTTAGTTATTTACATACAGTAACTCATTAAATATAAATAAGGCATTATATAATCTTCATGAGATATCTCAGGAAAAATTCTACTACTTTCAAAATTGTTTTATGAATATACTTCACAATGTTTCCTTCTCTGAAAGTTGGAAATACATGAATATGTGGTATCTTTAAACTGTTCTCACTATTATGGCATATTGAAAAGAAATGTGGATTCCAGACATTGCTTTGTAATACATAATATAGGGGTTTCTTAATATTAGTATCTCTCAGTTCCCACAACTGTAAAATGGAATAAATGGCCTCCAACTCTACTACCTTATCATTAACAACAATATACTCCTAAGTCACATTAGAAAATACTGTCTCATGATTCACGAGCTATGAAATGTGTAGGTGGAAAGTGTAACTGTTAAGAGACAGAGAATGGAAGAAATAGTGCCTGAATTTGTCTCTGCCACTTACTGCTTGACTAATTATTTAGTTAGAATAAGGAAGTTATTTAAAGTTAGCTAGAAATTAAATTAATGAATACATGAAAATGGACTTAGAACAGTTCCTGGTTCAAAGTGAACCCCAAAGATGTATTAAATTTTAGTAATGTTTATGATAAATGGGAACACTAGCTCATCCAATTTCCAGTTTGGGCATAAAGCTGTATTTTTCCATAACACATCTATTTTTACATAGCCTATTTTTTTATTGTTTTGAGGGGCTTTTTAAAAAATTTACTCAATGAGTGATTGTTAAGATCTGTTACTGTAGTAGTTGACTAGAGAATTAAAACACTAAGCAAATTTAGCATGACAAGGAGCCTTGTTGCATTTATGGTCTTTTGTAAGACAAACAGTAAGCAATTACCTTGTGGTGGTGAAGAAGGCTACAGTAGGGTGCTATGGAAGAATGTTACAGATATGCTACTTTATTTGCTCCTGTATTCAAACTTGTGACTAATTTTTAAACCACTAAATCAATTGGCTATATTCATCTCAACTAATTATATTAATATGTGCTGAATATAACTATCAGTTATATGTGTTTTATTTGGCTTTTCCAACATAACTTTGATTTCTTCTTCTGAAAAGGGGAATAAGAGTTTGTTTACCTGCTTATTTCTCATGATGATAGAGATTCAATAAAATTAAAAGTATTTTTTTAAAAGGCCACTGAAATGCTATATCCTATTGTTAATATTCAGCTGATTCAAAATTTTTATAATACTAATATAGAAATGGGCTTCCTGAGCTTGTTCTCAATTTTCATAATTTTGGTTAGGTTTTCACACCTAAAATCTATCATAACCGATATTAAAAGGCTAATAGAATTCTAGAAAACATTTTGGAAAATATATGGCCATAAAGACTGAGGGTGATCATATAAATTGATCTAAATTTTGGAAAACATTTTCAAAATACTTATCAAAAACTTTAAAAATATTCGTATCTTTCCTTTGATGTGACCATTTTTGTTTTTGTTCTGGAGGTGGAGGGGAGAACTTTAAAGGAATAATCCTGAATGTTCCAGACATAATCACAAAAATGTCCATCAAGGGGCTATTTTAAGTAGTGAGAAATCAGAAGCCACTTAATATTCCAAAACTAAGGATTTGATTAAATAAGTTTTATTCTACTACATAATGAAGTAATATGCCAAAAACGAAAAAAAAAATAATGAAGAATGGTTATGAATATGGGAGAACACAAGAACTATTGCTAAACCAATTAAAATAAGATACCTAATAAGGTACCATCGTGTTAAATATTAAACATAGCTGTTGTGTTATTCTATGCTGAAAGAGAAACAGAACTACAAAGGTGAGCACAATGTTTTTTTCTGATTAGTAAGAGGTATAGGTAATATTTATTTTCTCTGTTTCTCCATAGTTTTCGAATAATGAATAGTTGTTTTACTTTTAATAAGAAAAACTTCTATTTTAAATAAGCCTATATATAATATCACAAAAGAAATAATTTCATTATTTAAAGTATAACTTTACTTTCTAGTGACCAATTACAAATATTAAAAATGAAATTGCTCCAAGAATTGCCCCGATGCGTCATCTAGTGGCTTGATACAATCACTGCAGTTTGATTTTCTGTTTTGTTGTTACTTGGTCTCGAAGATATTAAGGCTGGAAACAATTGTAGCTTTTTTTCCCTTTTTAAGCACTGTTAAAACACAGTTTAAAGCTTATAGGAAATATGATCAAGTTTCTATATTTTATTTGGGAGACATGGTCTCTAATGTTCACAATGCAAACTAAGAAAATTACCTACAGCCTAAATAGTAATTACCCGTGTTTTGTCATGGTTTGGTTTGGTTCCTAGATTTATCGAAACATAATTAGTATACAGAAAAAACTGCACAGAACTAATGCATAAAATTTAGTGAGTTTCGTCACTAAGTAAATCTGAAGATCTAATTGGCTTTATGAGATGATTCACGAATTGGGCAAGCAGAAAGGAGCTCTGAGGAGCTGTGTTAAAATGGAAGATTTTTAAAGGCACAGATGGGATAGAAAAGAGGAAATTATTAGCAAAGAATGCACCTTTCAGGCAAAAATCACTCTCTTAAGGAGTCTATCAGCCAACGACCTCCTAGCGCTGACCAGGAAATTCCAGGTTGGCTGGAATTCCAAAGGTCACATCTCTGGCATCAAGAAACTGGACCTAATTGATGCTTCTGAACACCGTGTAATGTACAGGGCAACCCTCAGAAACAAAAAACAATGTCACTCAAAATGTCAGTGGTCACAAGGTTGCAAAATCTTGTCCCAGGTTGTCGGGTTTTTTTTGGTGAACTAAGCAGATGTATTGATTTTTCAGTCCCCTGGCCCTGCTTGAGTACTGGGATACCCTGGCTCCTGAGACTGCCGGAAGCTCAAAGACCGCCCATTCCCTGCTCAGCATCTTGGTTTCTGTCTTTGAAAATCTTCTACAGGAAAGCCCTTATTTCTGGGTTTCATCTTTCTCTTGGATTTGCATTGTGCTATTCTTCACTAATTTGTTATCCCACTGATGCCTTCAATATGGTTTAAAATATCTTGCAGTTTTCAGGTTGTCCTGTGCGGGTAGGGTTGGTATTACCTACAGAATGATCATCCAGACTTCTCTTGAATACCCAAATGAAAGTACTTGAGTTTCATCCTGCCTTAGAGAAATCTCTTCTGAATAACTCTCAGAATTCTTGGGGGGTGCCTAAAAACGTGTTTGTTGCACGGTACCTCTCATTCATCTGCTGCTACAGGCTGCTCTGTTGCTCACATTTTGTTAATTTATACCTACTTCCCTGTGGTTCAGTCTTCCATCCATACTTCTTCGCTAAGATTGCAGACACTTGCTCCCTGTATTATCCGAGGCACCAAAAGTGTAAAAATAACGAAAGTCTGTATTGAATGACAATATTGTTAGAATAAAGATAATAATAAGATAGCAATAATTATAGTCAACATTATATAGTGCTCCCATATGTCAGAGATGAAATACTTTATCTATAAATAATTTATTTAATCTGCACCACAACCATTTGACTTAGGTGTCATTACAATCTCATTTTATAAATAAGGAAACTGAGTCCAAGGAAATTAAGCACTTTGCCCAAGGACTTTAAATTTCAGATCTAAATTTATACCCAGGCAATTTGACAGTTTAGGCAAATATGGCATATTTTGGCACATAAAAATATGGAATATTTAAAACTGAATATCAGGTTTAATGGCATTTAAAGTTTATGGCAACCCCAATCACATAGGGCCCCCTTGGAGAGAACATTGCCTTTTCTCCAGCTTGCACTCCCTTGCTAAGGCTTGCCTATGTATCTTCAGATGAGACTTTTTAAAAACCATCTACTCTTTCCCTAATTCTTACAGGTGTTTGTCAAAAATATCAGGGACAATTGTTTCACTTCTTATGGCAGCAATGAAAACAGTGAAGACAAAAAGCTGACCAAAACGTGAAAGAAAAAACCTTGCTCATCAGTAGGTTTTGATAACTTACTTATATTGTTCTCTGTGGGCTTGGGAAAGCTGTAGTGAACTCTGAAAGGTGGGCTTGGAACATATTCCTGGTGATTAAAAACATCATGTCGGTGTGCATGGCTGGGGCTGAATGCATGTACAGACCCTATGCTCTCACCTCTGATTGATCTTGAGACTCTGCACAAACAGGAAGTGAAAGATAAGAGAAGTTTAAACTGCCTGCCTGAATGTTAAAGATGTGTCTCAATAGGAGCATGGATTCCTTTAGCAATGTCTGGGAGGTTTATAGTTTAAATAACTGAGAA